GAAAAGATTGAGGAAATTTGAGGGGTCCTGCTGTATGACTAATGAACAGAACTGATGAGATAAAAATTGCTAATTACATAAGATAATAAAACTTTATTTCTGTTTCATCCCGATAAGCAGCATAATGAGTGCCTATGTCAAATGCAATTGCCTTTAATTATTGGCTGCTTTCTCTGTAGAGTCTATTCCAACTCCACTGTCACCTGCTGCCAGCCAGGTCAGCCCATTGCTCTGTGGGAGTTTAGAAGAAGAGTCTCCCTTCCCTTCCTTTGCCCAGGTAAGCCATGTAGCAGAGTAAATCTTGTCAGCATTACTTGTGTCTTAATTGAGGATTAGTTTGAGAACACAGTTGCTTCCCCCACAAAAAGTGGGATAAATCTGACGGAGACAATGTAAGATTTGAGTGCTTGAAGGGGTTCCTAGATGTTCTTGCAACTTAAGGGATATGCAGGATTTTTCTAGTACATGGGATCCAATCATATCTTAATTTTTTTTTATAGATGTTGAGAGTTGGAAAGGCAAAACCAGAAACATGGCCCAAGCTGGCTCCAAAGACAAGAGGTAAGAAAATTTGGTATTACTACTTAAGGTTCTTTACCATGCATCTAAATCTAAGAAATCTTCTAACTTCACAAGAAACATCTAGAGTGTGGAGGGGCATTTGCACTGTGAAGGTTTTATACAGCCTTCTGCCTCTTACGGCTTGTTCCTTCTTTCAGATGAGAACAATCTGGCACTCCCTGTGCCAGTGGATAGCGATGGAGAAAGTGACAGTTCTGACCGCATACCTGTGCCCAGCTTCCAGAATTCCTTCAGCCAAGCTATTGAGGCAGCCCTCCTGAAACTGGACAAACCGTCCACGGCTGATCATTTATCAGGTAAAAGCCAGCAGGAGGAAGTTGTGAAAAATTTTTGAAGTGAAAAAATGGAGTATTTCCCCTTCTTCCTCTGGGAGAACTGAGAGCAGCAATTTTTGGGACCAAAAATTGGCCTCAGAACAGTTCTGAAAATTGTCAGGTTGTGGTCTCTGAACAGCTTCACTAGGGCTTCTGTTAGCTTAAAGGAGCTGTCTTGGTGGGAGCTGAGATGATCTCCAGCTAGCAAAGAATCACATTAGGACAAAGATGGCTTTTGGCAATCACGTTTGCCGTGTCTCTACTGGAACTTAATTTAAGCTTTATCTCAGGAACGTTCAGGTTGTGCACTTTTAAACTAAAAATACCTGAGCTGTGGAACTACCACTTAAGTTTGACTAAAATGTCAAGGTAACTTCTAGCTGAAATTTCAAATTAGAAGTCTGAAACAAATTGAGATGAAGTTACCCCTCCAAGCCTGGTGATTGACTGTTCAAAATGCTGAGTTCTGATGTTTAGCTTTGACTTCTGTTTGGAGACTGCACAGAATGGTGGGTGGAGAGTTGGACAGGAGGGGCTGGGAGTTTCAGTAAAGTTGAGTATCAGCTCTAGTTATGGTTTTTGGAGATGGATGAAAGCAATACTTGTCTGAAAGGCAAACTGCTGCACACTTGCAGTCCTAGGATCTGCTGTTGCAGAATCAACTTTAGAATGTTAACACACATCTATGAACATGCTTAGGTGTGATGGAGTCTCCCTTAGTTTGCCTGCAGTAATTTTTTTGTTAAAATTAAACTACCTGGTGCTCAGTGAGTTGATAGGAAGTGTCATGGACCTTGTAGTGATTTAATGCCCAGCCAGTAATTAAGCACCACACAGCTGCTTGCTCCTTTCCCGCTCCCCCCGAAGTGGGATGTGGGAGATTCAGGGAAAAAAACATATAACTTGTGGGTTGAGATAGAGACAGTTTAGTAGGACAGAAAAGGAAAGGAAAAAATAGCAAGAGAATATATAAACCAAGTGGTGCACAATACAGTTGTTCACCATCTGCTGACCGATGCCCAGCCAATACTCAAGCTGTGGTGTCCCCCAGCCAATTCCCCCCAGTTTATATACTGGGCATGACATCATACAGTATGGGATACTCCTTTGGCTCGTTTGGGTCAGCTGTCCTGGTTGGGTGCACTCCCAGCCTCTGCTGGCAGGGCAGTATGAAAAGCTGAAACAGTCCTTGACTTAGTATAGACACTGCTTAGCAACAACTAAAATGTCAGTGCGTCACCAACATTATTCTGATCTTAAATCCAAAATATAGCACTGTACCAGCTACTAGGAAGAAAATTAACTTTATTCCAGCTGAAACCAGGACAACCTGTAGAAGTCATTTAGGCTAGGGAAGACCATTTATCATTTCTGTGTGATGTTGCTGTTCCATGAGAAGAATGACAGTGTCATTTTAATTCTTCACAGAGGAAAAGGGAGGCAAGAAAAGAAAGAAACAGAAGCAGAAGCTATTGTTCAGCACCTCTGTCGTTCACACAAAGTGATTCTGCTATTGAAGAGAAGTTTCCTCTCCTGGTTTTCTTTTCATTTTGCTTTGTTTTGCTGCTATAGTTTTAAGTATTTAATTTGAACAGACTAAACTTGTGCTTCCAGGGCTTCTAGGGGGTTCAGGAGGAAACCATGTTGAAGTAAGATCTTTTGATCCCAACTGCTTAATCAGTTTATACTGAAACAAAGTTTTGAAAGAAACAACCCAGAGACAAATCAGCCAAGGCTTCTAGTCTGTGCCAAGTCTGTTCTTTTGGCCTAATAAGCAGTACGAAAGTCTTTACAGCTGTGTGGCACTGCCAGAATACTGCAATATTAACTAAGTGAAGAGGCAGAAAGCCTTTATTTCCCTAGAAGTATTCATGGGCAGAAGTCTGTCTGACTGTGGCAGTAGTGCTGTTTCAGTAAAGCTGTCAAACTGCTCTCTTGAGAAATTGGTTTCCACTGCACTGAAAATGGGCAAAAGAGCTTCCTGGCTTTAGGGTGTTAGCTGCTCTCTGTTCTTTTTCTAAAGAGCAAGAATTCCTCCTGTTCTCCTGGCTTGGAAAGATTTAAAGCTGAGGTGAGTGTAAAGCAGAACTTGGCTACTTGGTTTTGAAGTGACCCTTGATGAGTTTGTGTATGTCAGAATGCATACTGGCACTAGTGGTAGAAGGAACTTCCTGGCTTTTCTCAGTTGTTCAACTCTGTTTTAATGTGGGTGAGTGAGGCTGCTAACTTTTTTTTTTGCCAACCATGGGCTACATGTTCTTTGTAACCTGGTCATCTAGAATAAACACTCCACCCTAGGGCTCTTGGTAACTACCTGAATGATGTTTTGACACTAGCTGCTCTTGAATTAGAAGAACAACTGATAGCTGGAGTCTGTAGATAACTTTTATTCCCCAGCAAGAAACTGGGGTCTCTTGTACTGGGATAAAGGCCTGTCTCTGTGTGGTTCTGGGATGTAAGTTGATCTGCACTGAGCACCTGGGGCTATAAACATGCCTCTTGGGACACCTCCTCGCTCTTTCTTCGGGTGGTCACATTCTGCACTGCTTGTGGTTTGATTTGAGCTAATGAGTTAAGATAGTGTGGATTTTGTTGAATAAAATGAACTGTAGGTATAAGGTACCAGTCAAGGCCAACAGCTGCAATAAATCATACGCACATGCACTTACAGTACTGCACACTTCCTGAGCTGTAACTGAACTGTCATATCAACGTGCAGCACAAGAACGCTTAGTTGTATAGATTCAAATCTTATCCTACTGACACAACTCATGCCAGGGAGCCAGTATAAAGAACCACCTGACTCACAGGGCCAGACTGATGGTGTCTTCCATGATCTTTGGCTTCTTACACCAGTGGTCTGCCTGCATCTGCACAGGCTTTAAAATGTTGATGTGTTCTTTCCCTTTGATACAGTGACTGATCTGAGCAAGAAGCTGTGTTTGGAGACTCCTGCAGTCAGGTAGTCTAACACTGCTGGTAAAGCCATTGGTTTTGTCCCTATTTAAAAAGTTAGTCAATACATTGATGCTTGACTTCAAAGCAATAGGCTCAACATTATACCAGTGCTTCCTCGAGGCACTTAAGTGTATATGCATGGGAAGCTAGTACCAAAGAGTGTACTTCACAAAGCTCTGTATGTGGCTGTAAACCAGAAAGAAGAGGGCGAGGGGGGAGGTAAAGAATACTTCAACTGCTACATGAGGATAGAGGAAGCACCTGCAAAACAATATTTGAAAGCAGCTTGACTTCACGCTTGGTCACAATTAACTACACTTGAGGGAAAGACAGTAAAGCTTGTCAAGAGAGTGCAAAGAAACTAAGACAAGGTGCCTGAAAGCAGTAACACATCTTGCTGTTAATGCTTTACATGCACATTGGAAAATTATTGGCAGGGGCAGAGAAAGTGACTAAGAAAGATTCAAGTATGCAGTTAACTGCCTTCACAGTGCTATTGTTTCCTATTTGTAATAGTCATTTTAAGCCATGGAACAGGAGTAACTAGTGTCTAACCATTATCTGTTGTGTTCTATTATCTCTACACATTTTATAGTCAACTTTTCCTTGCATTGGGAAGAGACAGAATAGCTGGAGCTGGTGTAATTCACCTCCACATCTCACAGGCACTAGAACAAGGGAAGTGATGTGGGCAAGGAAGACTGTCCCTTCTGCAGGGGCAGTCTCCACAGGACAGCGTCTTCAAGTTGTATCTTGTTTTCCTATGGATTCAAGAGATAATACCAGCAACGCTACTTTCCTGTAACTGATTGGTGTAAACTTAATAAATATCTAAGCAGTACTTGTACCTATGAGTTTTCTAATGGGTCAGATTCCCGGTCATCTTTGCTCCCATGTACACAACTGGTGCTTTTGTGACTCAAAACAGTGGATAGCCCTATGGAAAACAGGTACATTTGAAGATAAGGTAGAAGACAGTAAGATGTTAATGGTTTTTCTGTACTGAAGGAGAAAAACTACATTCCTTGTCCATGCCAACTGCCTAAAGCTCACTTCTACCTCAACGTGAAGATCACCTTGGTCTACTACACTCCTTAGGAGTGCAGGTGGTTTTGACTCCTAGAGTGAAACAGGCAAGTAACCTACTTAAGTAAAACTGTATTTTATTTTTTAAAAAATTTATTTAAGAATACTCAGAATGGGGGAATGAAGTCTAATTATGAACAGATGCTTTTTTCTGTCCCCTGCTCTGCTTAACACCGAAGATAATTGGTAACATCTTGATTACACAAGTACATGACAGAGGTAAACAGTGACAAGTAACATTCAGTCTGTCTCTGTGCCGTCATCATCCTCCTCATCTCCACTTTGAGACTGCTCTTCTGTAAGGGAACAGCTCAACAAGGACTTCTGTATACACTGTCTTTCCTCTGCGATAAAGAGAGCAACAGAGGGTCATTACTTGATCTCTTAACATATGTTGGAATACCCTCAACTTCTAAAGAAAGGAACATTTCTCAGTTCAAGAATTCCAAAGTAGCCCAGCATATCCTACAACCGCCCCAGCAATTGAGGCTGCATTTTAGGAGAGCAGCTGGAGGTACTCACCTTCATTTGTACAGTTTTGCAACAACATCAGGAGCTGTCTTCTATTATACTGAATTAGAAATTTCTGACACGTTCTGATGGTACCTATAGGAGTCACAAGGACAATATGTAACAATCTACCCAACCAAGTGGTTCAGAGCTGCTAATGTATTTTCTGAAGTCAAAGGCCCTGGGTAGCAAGTGCTAAGAAGCAGCTGCAGACTTCATTTCTGCACTGTTGAGGTTAAGTGGTGGAATAATAATTTCTGACATGCAGTGCCCGTTATTTGCCCCAAGTGGTTTAATTTTCAGGACATGGACAATGCTATACTTTGAAAATATATTTTAAAAAGAAAATAATGTAATATAATATTTGCTACTCTGATTTTGTGTTAAATGTAATGAAGATTCAAGCAGAATTAATGAGGGTTTTAACAAAGAACTGCTGGTGCCTGTTTCTTACTTAGATTTGCTGGAAGCTGCGACGTTAGCAGCGCATTAATGCGTGTCTGCTGCCCGCTCCGTTTTGGCAGGCCTGGAAGGTGCGATTGAGCTCCCGGGCCTTTCTTTACATCCCCCCCCCCGCCCCGGTACCAGAGAAGGCGGAGCGGGGCAGCTGAGGCAGTGGCTGACCTCCGACGTGCAGGGTGGTGAGGGCGCAGGGGTAGCGCTGGTTGCGGCTCTCCAGCTGCCTGACGAAGGGGAGCGCGGAGCAGAGCAGCCGGTACGAGTCCTTGCGGCACCTCAGGAGCACGGTCCCGGTGTAGGCGTTCAGGTACTTCACTGCGGGGCCACAGACGCACCGGTGAGCTCGGAGCCCACCCCCGGAGGAGGCCCCCCCCTCCCCCCTCCCGCCGGTACCTGTGAAGGAGATGGAGCAGCAGGCCAGGCCGTAGTCCCCGTGCACCCGCCCGATGGCGTCCCTGACGGCGAGGCCCACCGCGCGGTCCTCGATGCACTGCCGACACCGTGGGTCCTCCGACACCACCTCGCACAGCACGTACCTACGGGAGACCGCGGCGTCAGCGGAGCGGGGCTGGGAGCGGGGCGGCCCCGGCTCCCGCCTCACCTGTTCTTGAAGCGAACCATGGCGGCGGCACCCGATCCGGACGGACGCTGCGCCTAGCCAATAGGCGAGGTGTGCGGGGGAAATCTCCGCTCACTGCAGCCAGTCACCGCCGCGCAGGGGCGGGGACAGAGGATGGACTTCCCGGGCCCAACCTCCAGCTCGGTCCCGTTGCCTTCAGCCGCCGGCCGTGCGCATGCGCGCTGCGGCTCCCGCCCGCCCGCCGGCGGCTCTGCCCGGGCGGCCCGTGCGGTGACCCCATCGCCTGCCCGCGCCCTCCGCGCGGCGGCGCGCGTAGCTCGCGGCTGAGGGGGCGGCCGGCCCGCCGCTCCCCGGAGCTTGCTGAAGGTGAATTCCTTTGGCTTTAGCCCCTTTTCACTGCGCTGCTTCTATCCACCTTGGCTAAGGTGAACCGCAACACGCTTCGCCGAGTGCCAAAAAGTCTAAATGATGGAGACGGGGCGTTCCGCGCTCACCCCCCTGCTTCGTCTGACGGGAGCCGCGGGAAGGTCCTGGGGAGGCGGGTGAGGACAGGCCCGGTGCCGCTGTCACCCTCCGGCTGTGGTAGGTGGTGGGGCCACCATCTGCCCTCCGGGGCTGAGGGCTTTAGCAGTGTCCAGTGCCACCACCCCAGTGCTCCTGGAAGGGCTCTGCCTTCACTACCTCACAAAACTTCAGTATAGCTCCTCAGGCTCCAGGTATGGGGTGTTTTTGAATATGTACTAACTGTCTAACAAAACAGCTGAGAAAATTGTGGAACAGAGCTACTTATAACTATTACTGTTTAACTATAAAGCTGTGATCTCTGACAGATGATCTGAGGAAACCGGGAGTGTTCTTTGAAAATATCTGGTACAAGAAGAAACTGGGGAGAGGGTAGTGGCAGGGTAAGGGAAAATACATGAGGTGGGCATGTGAATGTGAGGTGGGAGAAAGAATCAGTTAGGGCAGCGTATTATTCACAAGAGAAATGCTTTCACCAAGGTCCCTGGAGCCAAATCATACGGGAGCGCATGAGCCACTAGAACTTGTGGGAACTCATTGCTAATTCAGAGTGGAAACATCTTCTTTAATGACCTTAATTCCAGACAAAGAAAACAATGATAAACCCAGTGGAAATCCTGTCCTGGGTGATACACTTCTGCCCTCTGAAATAGATGCCTGTTCTGTTCTTCTCTCCCTTTCTCTATTAACTGTCTCCTTTACTCGTGATCACATTTTTGAGTCGTGTTTTTCTGAGAACTGCAGAATATGAGTTGCCTGGGGAGAAAAAAGCACAAAGTACAGTATGGACTTTGCAAGAGACCTTTTCTTTTAGGCCATAATCAAAGGGACTGGGGGAAGTTTGTCCGTTTCTGAAGATGATGCAGATAGAAGCATTTTTTCCATGAGAGAGAGACTGTACTGCATTGATCTTTGCCATATTGCTTTGTGTTGTAGTATCCAAACTGGGATCTAGCTGTCATGTGTTCCACTTGTCAATACATTGAGCTTCTAGGTGGTAAGCTATTCTCACATTTTTGAACAATATCGAAGTCCATGAAGATTCCCATGTATTTTCTTTGTGGAGTGAGGTCCCAGCTTAGCCTTCTAGCATGAGTGCCAAGGTATATCTGCCTGCTGCCCCTTTTTCTGGTGGCAGCCCCCATCCTGCCATCTGACTGGGCTTGGGTTGTCCTGTGCTGCTCAGGTTGCTTTTATTCATGTCTTCCCTCATTTCTTTCTCTTTGCAGAGCAACGGCTGGGTCTCTGACAAGCAGACCATGTGAGTGCACTCTGCCCTGTAATTCAATAGGACATGTGCACTGTGCATGCGACAGGCTGGGCCCTATGTATAGCAAAGGCCTCTGTTTTCAGTCCAGAAGGCTGATTAAGAGAGACACAGTGCAAAGAGAGAGCACTGTTGTGAGAGAGGCCTGTCCTGCTTCATTTCATGTAGGATACTGCCTTTATTTCCCTGTTGTTGATTTGGAGGATGCAGAGTCCCTCTGAGCCACCACGGCTCCCTATACAGTCACTGCCTGTGTTAGTACAAGCCGTGTGAGTCCAGTCAGGCATCACAGTGTGCTGACCTGACAGCACAGGACTAAAAGGTTACAACATCTTCACATTTGTTTTCCCACCTCTTCACTCCCATCCTCTGCCAGCTTTGCTGTATTGATTCCAGCGTCAGTGATTTAAGAAACTGTCGCAAGTGATGGTGAGTTATACAGTCAAGGTGGGAAAGAACTGTCTCCTAAGGAAAGATCTGAGAGAGAAAAAAATCAGAAAATGCTATTTAAATTGAAGAGTGGGTCAAGAGACTTGCCAAGAGGGAGGATGGATGTCTCTCCTGCAGACTTGGAGAGACAATGTGGCCTTGGGATAGCTTATCAAATGGAAATTATGAAGGAGAGAATATACGAGGAAAGTAGGAAATAACATGCACTGTCCATACACATTAGAGACAATTTGCAAAGCAGTTTGAGAACTCTGGATAGAAGACTCTATCAGCGTAAGTGTTCATCAATGATTGTCCAGTGAAGTGGTCATGCTAGCAAGGTGCAGGATGAGTACTGAGGTCTTGTTTTCCCAGCTTGTGTTTATTACATGTGGCAGTGTGCATGTGGAGAGGTTATTCCCAATCATTCTGGGTTTGCTTTATTACCATTTTAGTTAATGGTTTGACATTTTACCACAGGCTTGAAGATCTAGACCCTAATTTTGGATTCATATGGCATTTGTAATCTCCAGCTTGCAGGTTAGATTGCATTTGTATTGTATAGAATTAATTGTGCTAATAAGGTTCAACAGACATTGTGATTAATGCATATGTTTTATTGTATGCAGCCAGCTCTTAGAGTTTGTACATATTTGCTATAATTAAAATTACCAGCAAATGTGTTCACTGAAAAGAACCTGTATCAGTTAGTTAATCCTTGCACTCTTTTTAGGTAGGATGTTTCCATTTTATAGATGAGGAAACCCAGGTACAGGGGGATAAAACAGCTTGTTCATAGCAAATAGCTGTCAGTCTGGAGATACAGAGCAAGAATGTAACGTGAGTAGAAGGAACCGGCGTATTAGTGCATATTGTGTTGGGGTATCGCTCTTGGATGTTGCTCATGCATAAGGTAGCCAAGTAATTACATTCTGTAGTAAAATTAGGATGCACTGGTACTCTATCTTTGTGATACCACAATTTGATCTTCTCTGCATAGCCAAGACCATGATTTTTGCTTCCCCCTGGAAGCAAGAAACTGAATTTGCCGTCAGATGCGGTATCAGAGTTGGGGGTGACAACTACATTTTGTTCTGCTGTATGCACATTGCATCCCTAGATAACCCCACAGTTGAAAATACAAAACAATCTGGCTAAAATTAAAACTGCTTCTTAAATCCTCTGTCTGATGTTGCCTGAAGCTTTTTGTTCAGTTTATCTTTGCAGGGTCACTGAGACAGAAGAGTGCATTCTCTGAGCATGTCGGCCTGGAGCCTTTCATGCAGATGCTTTCATTTAACATTTGGGATGTTCTCCTTCTCCCTTCCGTCCCTTCCTTTTTACTCCCCTATTTTTCATATCACTCTACTCCCCCTTTTTGAGTTCAGAATCCCTCAGATCAATACACAGAGGAATAAAAGCTGTCCTTTTTTACCACCTTAACATGTAATCACTAATCATAAGCTTTCTGGGCACCCAAGCTGTCACAGGCTAGAGACTGCTGGTCTGTCTGTCAGAGCTGCCACGCATTCTGCCTGCAGCCCTGCCCTCATCTTTGCTGTCATCCTGCCATGTGGAATATTTGTCTTGCAAAACCATGTGTTTGAAGCAAATTCTGTTTCAGCCTCTTTCAGTGGCTTGCAGTGTGATCTTGGACTGTACTCACTTAAGATCAAAATAGTAAATTCATGTTTCTTTGATTATTTTTTTCTTTTTTTAATAGTCAAGAACGGGAAATTTCAGTTAGGATTAATAGTGACTGCATGTTCTGAGAGACATCCCAAGTGTTGTGAGGTGAGCTTCTACTAAGATATGAAAAATTGGAAGCCACTTTGGAAGATTGAAGCCAAATTTTAAGATTTGATAAAGGGCATAAGTGTCTATGAGTTTGGCACGTGCAGTCTAGAATGAACACAGAATCAGGAGTCTTCTTTTCCTGTGCAGCAAAAACCAGCGTGAGTGAAGAGCTGTGCAAAAAAGTGTTGTGCCAAGTGAGAAGCTGGCCCTAAACTTCCAAGCTTCAATTTCTCCAGCTCTGTAATGGGAATAATTGCAAATACTTCACTCACAGATACATGTTAAAAATTAGTAAAATGTCCACTTGACTGTTAATTATCAAATGTAGTAAAACTGCTTCTATATATGATCAATCTGTAGGCAGCACACTTTTCATTTGCAGCAAGCTGCTGCAAGAAGCAAACAGCTGTTTCGAAACTAGTTAATGAAATTAAGGCAAAAACTAGAATATTAGTTCAGATAGTTCAGGATTCTCTTTTGTCTTTCCTTCTGCATTAAGGAACACAGACTGAACAGAGGGCCACATAGGTTACTATGCAATCTGCTGTATAAAACCCCCATATTTAGTACCTCCTTAACAGAGACGTTAAGATGGATTAATTATTCTTTGTTCTGGTCTCTGAAGATAAAGGGTAATTACTATTAATTATGTGTAATTGAAAAATTGCTCCTTCACAAAGAATCTGGTAGCATTAGCAGAATTTTAACTTCTTGCTACTTATAGGGAGGCGTACAACATTCCATAATGTTATGGCAAAGACTGACAGAAATTTAAGAATGGCCTCAGTGAGTCTTACTCACATTCCAGCCTGCACCTGAGACCAGTATTTTCAGAGATAACAGATCTCAGAGCACACTGGTGAGACAGGACTCAGTGTTTTGTTCTGTGCTGAATGACACTTAAACAGAAGATGCAATTTGCAAGGTTGGTTGTCATTGATGCTGCTGCAAGACTTTTTCTCAGTAAATTTCCAGAAACCTGTGGAACAACCACAGGTAAAACAAAGGGTAAATATTAGAAACAAACAAACAACAATAATGACAGCAAC